AACAGTACATAATGGAATTTGTCTGAGTTATGCTTGTGACAGGCTAATTTACGCTTACGTGCGGATAGCATTTATCTGCCTAGCAGGTGCTGATCGGATGGCATATGATAGTGATGAGGGTGAGTTTGGCGAGCTACAAATACCACATAATGTTCACGATATTTCGTACGATTTATCTGTGTGTAAGGCTTATGATTTTTCGACGAAGCCACATATATTGCGAAGCCCCTTTTTCTCTTACAAAGCCTCAGTCACCGTTTCCCTTGTTAACCAATTTTGTCACTTTTCAAGCTGTGAGATCAAACATGAAACCGGAAAGAAATCATTTTCAAAACTTAATTTGTTTCAAAAAGTTCTGAATTTTTTGAATTTTTTTGCTATGAAAAAGGCTTCATTTAAATGAGTGATGAAAAAGTGTATAGCGTATGCCCTTTCTTCTAATCTTTTCTGGAGTTTATCATTACTTTAGGCTAAAAGCTTGTGGCAACTGTCTCGTAAAGTTGTTCAGCCACATTGAAAACATTTATCGCCTTGCATTTAGTTATTGAAAATGATGATAATTTGTTGGAGCAAGTCAGGAAACGTCATCCTTGTTGGACTTCGTTTGAAGTCCTTCTGTTAAATTCGTATGGGACCTCATTTCGTTTAGAGATTAGGGAGATGGAGAGGTGGACTCATGGAAAAGGTTGGGGTATTCTGCATAGCCAAAGTTACATAGCAGTCTCATTTAGTGGGCCCATTGTCCAGCCGGCGACACAGTCTTTGATTATGGCACTTGTGAAGCAGGGCCTTTTTGCGAAAAAAACCTCATTGAAATGATAAAAGGCTAAATTGGTTCCTCTTCTATTTTAGACTTACGCCTCCTATAATGATGTTCATTGGATTTTATGTAATCATGGATCCTTTTGTCCATGGACCATGGACTCAAGCATCTTTTAATATTGTGGAAAATGGGCCAGAAGCATGCAAGAAATACTGGTGGCGCAATCTTCTTTACATAAACAACTTTTTTGACGTCGAAGAGGTAAAATCCTTTATGCGTACGACCAGATGAGGTTTTAAACTTCAGAATTGCTATGCCGTAACATGGTATCTTGCCGTTGATACCCAGCTCTACTTTGTCGCACCAATCTTTCTCATCACACTTTTCATTTCTCCAATCGCGGGTAATCCTTTGCATTGAATACAAGACTTCGGCGAAAATTTTATACCAGGATTTCTGCTCATCGGCGCATGTGTTGCGGCCAGCGTCGGATATGTTTATGCAATCACAATCAAAAACTCCTTCCCTGCTATCATTTTTGGTTTATTTTCTGCGAAGTGAGGGGTTAAAGTCCTTAAAGACATTTGATTAACAAAAAGAACTATAGTGGATGCATGCTTCAGCAATTTTCTTGACTTTTTCACCAATTATTACGAAAAACCTTGGACTCGTTGTCCTCCATTTCTGATTGGGATAGCAGTCGGATATATTTTAGCATTAGGAAAGAAGCCAAAGTTGAGCAGGGTATGTTTTAGCCACTTGATACGCAAAGAAGAATAGTGTCAAATAATTCTTTAGTTTTTTACTGCATCACTTTGGGCAATAGCCGCCGCAGTTGCTCTAGCGTGTGTTTATAGTTCTCACGATTACTTAAAAGGAGAGGATGTGTGGAGGTGAGTGACATCCTAGGTAGGGTTATGTCCGAGTCCTCAAGAAACAGGTGCATTTACCCCGCTGTGTGATACTTCTATAGCAATCAAATTATTTGAGAAATTAGGAATGTTTAGCGACTTTTTCCGTCTATCATTGCCGGAACCAAGTTTTTAATTTTTTTAGCAGCGTTGTCAGCGCAACGTACAACAATTTCTCACGTGTTGGATGGTCGCTAGCAGTTTGTTGGGTTATTGTCGCGAATCACTGGGGATGGGGCGGTAATTTATACAAAATTGTTTTTCCGCGTTTCTGCATTTGTGGCAAGGCATTACAGGAATAATTGCCAATTTTATGGATCATCCAGTATGGCAACCATTAGGCCGACTGTCTTACACCTGCTACATTACGCACTTTTTCCTTATCAGTTATATTCACGATCTCGATGATCGACCCACGCATTTCACTTCTCTTTGGAAAATGGTATGTTTTGAAATTTTTTATGCACAACGAGCACCTATCCAAACCTACTATTGCAGTACATTTACATGGTCATACCTACAATCGTTGTCTCCTTCGTGTTCTCCTTCTTCTGGAGCTGTCTCTTCGAGGTACCCGTAGTGAAGCTGGAGAAGATGCTCACCGATGGATTACTTCCAAAAAAGTCTTCTGACAAGCCTAAACCCGAAATTGCTGGACCAGAAGACGGAGGAAAGTCTGGTTTGGAGCGAAAGAGCCAAAATGTAAAGAGTAATGGCGGCATTTCCGAGTCAATGACTAGACAGATTATTGAAGAAATGGGAGGGATCAAAAAAGGAGCAGCCGGCAATGACAATGTTGGACAAGCTAGACAAGAGGTTGATAGGCCTGTTTCAAATGTAATAGTAAGAAAAGAAGCAAGCGGCGATAGCGAAAATGATACACAGATTGCAGAAATGCCCAACTTAGAACTGAATAGCAAAGTAGCAATTGAAAATAGCTTCACTGCAGAATCAGAGGCCTTGGAAACGCTTGGTTCAGAATTACGAGAAATCCAGAGAGCAAG